GAGGCCTACAATTGAGCGAAGCACAAAAAGACACTTCTTGGCCGAATGGCATACAACATTTTATCTTTAAAGCACTTTATATAGGTCAATTTAATTCAACATGAAAACGGCCTAACCTCACTTTTTTAGCATCTCATTTATTTATTAGCTAAAGATTACATTAAATGTACAATAATTATTATTCCTTTTAGAAGCAGTAATAGTTTGACAATACCTAGCTACATGATTTAAGTAGAAATGGATTTTTGTAAGAAAATGGTTTACTTACCCTTTTGCTATTACATTAAATTCAATTAATTGTTTAATAAATAGGTATCTAATTTCAATTTGTTTGCATTTTTATTAAAAAAATATGTAGTTTGGAATGTTTACGCTGTGTTTAACATTTAATTTCACTGAAAACTTGAAGCAAATTAAAATTTAAAGATAATTTAAATCGTAGAAAAAGAAAACACAACTGTGAAATACACAGAAACGTCAAATTGCAATGTCCTAACCTCACTTTTTGTTTTATTATTCATATTTAATTTTACAATAATTTAATGAAAAATATTAAACATTATAATGTTATAACAGTAAAACAAACAAACTAGTGCTTATCATAAATAAATTAAACCAGTTTAGTACGTTTATTTCTTAGAAAAGGATTAATTTGTCAAAACAATACCCCTAGCGAGAAAAAATCGAACTAATTACTTGCCTCATAAAATTTTTTATCGGCCTAGGCCATAACAAGGTATTTCTTTATCGAATGTTGACAACAATAAAGTTTAAATTATAGACCGCGTGGAGATAAAATATATAATTTGAAAAAAAAGCCAGCACAGAGCCGGCTTAAGGCAATTGAGCGCCTTAGGCACTTAAAAATTTGCCTCCTCTAACTAGATACTATATATATATAAAATTTTAAAAAAGCTTATTAGAGCCACCCCAAACTGTTAGCTTAAGGGCGCCCGAGCATTATAACCTTATTATTCCCTATGAATTAGAATACTTTTTATCATTAAAAAATACATAAAAAACATAAATAACATACAAACATAACAAATATATTGTAAATAAAAAGTGTTAGGACTTATAAGTGCGTTTTTCTGCAAGATGTCATTAGTAAGTATTTAAAAAAAATTAAATCAACTTTAATTTTCTGTATTTGTATGTTGGATGTACTGCTGGTTTATTGTTATTAGTTTAATATTAAAATTTCAGAAATACCTTAATACAAACAGAAAAATTAACACTATCTAAATGTGGATTTAGCCAGCATTTTGTGTAACGTAATCTAACGTAACGTAATTTAATTTAAAAGCCAGGCTAAATCAACCTTAACTATCGAACACAGACTGCTATCACCAAACACACAACACATAGAAGTGCCACTCTTGAATAAACGCGAAAACACCCAAGTCCTTCCGGCAGCAGTTTCCTCTAGTATCGCGTACCCGCTGGGCTGAGCAGCACATCACAGCGGGTACTCGATGCAAGAGGAATCCGTGTGCTTGGAGCATACGGGGGTTTTGAAATAGTTTAAAGAGTGCTAAAGATATGTTTATACAGGGTAAAGTTTACAAATTAAATTATCTTGTAAGTTTTTGTTTGCAGTTTAACGTTAAGATTTATTATTATTTGTTAATTATACAGTTAATAATAAAATATCTTCTTCTACTTCAAAAAGTAGTGCCCTCGTAATCAAGCATGGTGATATAACACCTGATTAATTTTATCTAAAATACATTTATGTATACATACTTATTTGGCATAAAAACAGAAGTGAATTTGCGGCACGCTTTTTTGTCGGATTTACCCCTCGTTATTACAAAGGAAGCTAAATTTGTATAAAATAATAAAAACAGTAAATAATATTCTGTTATTACAATTGTATATTGTTTATTTGTTTTATTTTTGGAAAAAATAAACAATTTGGTAACAATTTTTATTTTTTTTTAAGTTGTTTGGGGACAAGGCGCCTATTTCTACGTGGCGCCTTAGGCAATTGCCTTGCCTGCCTAATGGGTAATATGGCCCTGAGCCAGCATATTTCAAAAAAGAAACTAAAATCCTTTCAAAACCAAAAATCGTTATAAGTTATAACTTATAACTTTATTATTCCTGAGAATTTTGGAACAAAGTAAGTTTTACATGTTACACATACACATTAATCTACATTTTCATCACATTTGTACGCTACTATGTTTCCAATTACCAACACCATCTTTTGTTTTTATAATGGCCGCCCTAACTTATGTAGTGGATTACTTGATTTTTGTTCTATCTAACTATGTAAAATTTCAATATGGCGGACATAGGAAAAACAAAAGTCTCATCTCAAAATCTAGTAGAGGGAAAAAATCAGAAATTGGATAAAAAAGTAGATAAATATGTATGTATGTTATTATGTAAAACTTAATTTTTTTTAATTCCCCGTAATAACAAAGGTTTGGTTATTGGTAATTGGCTTTGATAGGTTTTCAGTTATTTTTTTTTAATATTTAAGAACCGCTGATTTTATTTCCATTTAAATAGACTTGTAATTACGCAAATTTGTCTAATTTAAGTTAAATTATTTAAGCGACCTTGTAGCTCTTTAATTAAAAACATAGAAGTGTACTTGGTATACCTTGTTACAGCAAAAAAATTGCATCTTTATTAAATTATTGTGAATAGTATTTAAAAAACAGGATGGAGTTGTATAACAAAAAAATATGTAAGTCATGTTTCTCTGCGGAATTCTTCGTCCCTGTGGAAAACATGTAAAAATTGTAGAATGTTATTTTTTTCACTCAACTTTCATTCTAATACAAAAGAAAGTGCATTTTATTTTTTAATTTTTTACTTAAATTACAAAAACAATGGGAAAAAAACTTTTTCAACTTTTGACTTCCAATTGGCTTTTAAGGAGACACCCTACAGATTCTAGAACAAAAAAAAGAATTTTCCGTTGAAACTACCCCATTTGATTAAATATTTATTTAAAAAACGAGTGGGCCACCTCAAGATGTTGAGTAAAAAATTTGTTTTTCTTTTGAAAAAAATTTTTTTTTATAAGGTACAAATTATACCCCCATGCTAAGAAAAAAAACAAACATTTTGTTTTCAACCCACCCTAACATACATCCATACATTTTAAAATTAATCGCCTTTTCGATAAAAATAAGCACAAAAGGGTTTACAAATTAAATTTTATTTTTGATATTTGAAAATTATCTGTTTTTATAAAAGGATATAAAACAGTTTTCTAAAAGCGTTCCAAAAATAAAAAGTTTTGAATTTTTTGACACAAATGTCAGAAAATGCATGTCAAGCAGGTAATCAGCTCTGTATGAATGTGTTGTTTATTTTATTTATTATAACTCAAGATTTATTTATTTTTTGGAAAAAATATTTGTACATTTTGTTATTCTTAAAATATCCATTCCTTTCGTGGTACCTATATTTATATTTTCATTTAAAACTTTTTAAATTATTGCCTTGAGTATTTACTGTTTACCTTATATTGACTTATCTAAGTTGGTACCTAATACAAAAATTATAAATGTAAATAAAAATCCGTGTAAAATCGCGTAATATCAAACCTATAAAAACTTTTTTACAACTCAAATCACTATAGGTAAAAACATTTAACTTTTTATTATTATTATTAGTCGGCACGAGCGAAGCTTGCAAGCGAGTGATTAATAAAAACGAGTGCCTATAGAAGTTTATAAAACGAGTTGCATACTATACTTTATCTACGACGAACACAAAGAAGAATTTAAAGCAAATTTTATTTGTCAAAGTTTAAACCGACTTTACCTCACTTTTCACTAATTTATAAGAAAGCTAACTTCAGCCCGTGACTAAAATGCCCAAAAGCCACTATTGCTTAACTCCATAAAGTCACAGCTCGTCAATGTAGGAGTATATTATGTATCAAGTTTGATAGACGCCATTTAAGCCACGAATTTAATTTAAGCACGAGCGAGTGCTTAAATTAATGAGTGTCTAGAAAAGTTTATAAACGGGGGGCATACTATACTTTTTCTACGACAAATACTTATAAAGGTTATAAATCGAAATTTATTGTTTACAGCAGTTTTTCATAGTGAAAGTAAAGAAAATGTTTTTTTTTTAAATATTGGCGTTGAGAAACTATTTAATACTTTTGTATTTTTGTATTGAAATAATAGAATAATTTTCACATTTAGTACTATTTTACAAGAGAGGCACTTTATTTTAACGATTGTATGACATTTGACAGCTGTCAACTAACTTAAAACTATGACTAAAAACCTGTTGCTACCTTTAGCCCGTGACTAAAGCGCCATAAAGTCACAACTTGTCAATGTGTATTTAAAAGGTCACTTAGTGTTATGGAAACATGTACGATAATGGGCGTTTTAAAGGTTTGAGTAAAAAAAAGTGGTTAAGAAATACCTACCTACCTACTATAGTGGGTTTTTTGTAAGTTATTTTTAAAGATTCCAGCTCAAAAAACGATGTTATATTAAAGATCTCAGCAGCAACAAAAGATAAACGTTTCCTACTTATTGTTAAAATTTAATGTGTTTTAAGAAACCTAATCTGTGGAAATAATACCTGGTTATTTAATAAATGTTATGTACACATACAAACGGATTCAATTACCAAGTTCAAAGTAATGATTTTTAACACTAATAAATAACATCGAGGTACAAAGTATGTAGATATAATTACAGTGATATTCTGGGCATGATTAAAATTGAGCAAATAAAATACAACCCTGAGAATTCGAAACGACCATGTATTAGGTTATTAACCCAAGACACAGGTATCTTATTATTAAAATCAAAGTCATGATCAATTGAAAGTATACTTTATAAAGTTGTTTCGTTAATAATAATCAAAAAATATAAATCTTGTTAAACAATTTGGAATTGTTAGGAAATCAATAGCGAACCGGTAAGGAACTCAAGTAAAATAAAACGATTAATAACAAGGATCACGGTCTGGTGACTTAAAGTGTATTTAAAAATGCTTGTACTCACCAAAAAAACTACTGTCAATCGTATTTTCGTTATAAACACTGTAGAAACTTTGTGTTGATAATTGGTCGTCTTAAGGCAACAACGTTTACTGATTGTGGTGTATAAAAGAAGAAGGATATATCAAAATGTCATCGAGTGTCCGTCAAACCCCTTGAAAACAGTAGTTAATGCACAAAAACACTGAGAAAAGTCATAGCCACTAATTGTTTGCAAAGAAAGAGATGCTGGAAGTTACACTACGACGTACAGCGTTGCCACGTGAGGTATGAGGACAAATGAACAATTTAACAGCGAGTCGAAGTATGCAAGTGAACGACTCCAAGTGATCTGGTTCTCTGCCCTGTCGTAGCCCGACCGGCGGCGGCTTCACGAAAAAACAGTCGGAGTGCGCGCAAACCGGCGCTCCACTCCTGCCGTATCTCCACTCTGCTGCTGCTGCTGCTGCTGCAGATTTCATTCTCCATTAGAATATTTGAATATTACAGAGCTCGTGTACTACGTACTATTCCGCGTTGCCTTTGCTCCTTTGGGGTCACAGCTGTACCCACTTCCTCCTAGAATGCACTCTTTTTTTTCTCCTCCGGTCGGTCGGCCGGTAGGTACCCACTTCTTTGCGTTGTCGTCGTCATGCTACATTCACATTAGGTACAGCCGTAATCGGTAATTACTACGGCAACGATCTACACCGCTGCTCGTTGTTCAAAAATTTCATGTTGCTCTGATTTGCATTTATTTTTTCTCATGAACAAATTCCAAGAGGAATTATCAAAGAAGATTATTAATTTACCTACGTTCGGAAAAATGGATTCTAAGCAACGCATAAATAGCATTGATGTGATATTTCCATGACACTAAGTGACCTTTTAAATACACATTGTCAAGTTGTGGCTTTATGGCGCTTTAGTCACGGGCTGAACAGGTTTTTAGTCACGGGCTGAAGTTAGTTTTAAGTTAGTTGACAGTTGTCAAATGTCATACAATCGTTAAAATAAAGTGCCTTTCTTGTAAAATAATACTAAATGTGAAAATTATTTTATTATCTCAATACAAAAATACAAAAGTATTAAATAGTTTCTCAACGCCAATATTTGAAAAGTTTATATGAAAAGTTTATATGAACATTGTATCTTTTAATTTCGCCGGCAGCAAAATACATAACTTATATAACTTAAGCATTTTCTTTACTTTCACTGTGAAAAACTGTCAATTTTCAAAAAATACATTTCGATTTATAACCTTTATTCTTCTTCTTCTTCTTCTTCAACTAGGGCGGATTTATGGCTTAACCACCGCCCTTATGGTCCTGGACATAGTCCTTATTAACCAGCTACAAGTATTTAACGTCCAATGATTTCAGAAGAACCAAAAACCATTGGACAACTGTTGTCTAACAAACACGTGGACACAAATAGGTTATGTAACCTTAAAATTTAAATGTTCATATAAATTCCTCTATTCCTTTAAAAAAGGACAAAACGAGGAATATTATCTAGGACTGGAACCCGATTTTGTCCTCCCTGAGTCAAAGTCAACTATTTTTCACACTTTTTCATGGAGCAATGCACGAGCGATGCGCTTCTCACCGAGGACAAAATCGAACTCATAACCTTTATTATCTGTGTTTATAAAATATAAAAAATTGACATTTGACGGTGACACACAGATTCCCCTGTTGTTTCATAGATGGCGCAATATACAAACTATTGATTTAAATCATTTATAATTATAAGTATTTGTCGTAGAAAAAGTATAGTATGCACCTCGTTTATAAACTTTTCTATATACTCATTAATTTAAAATGGCGTTTATCAAACTTGATACATAATATACTATTATTGTACAAGTGGAAATGGTCCAAAAAATAAGAATATGTCGAATTTATAGTTTTGGGAAAGGTACAATTTCTAACGGTTTCGTAATTAAATATAAATACCTTGTTAATGCACCTAAATAATGTATACAGGGTGTCCAATAATTAATGTGCAATACTTTAGCAGAAGATCCTACGTACAAAAATAAGAAAAAAAGTTCCTATTAACATAGGTAGAGAAATGTTTCGTTTAAAATAAAACTTTTTTTATAATTTTAATAACATTTATGTAAATTTAACAACAAATTAATTGTTAATTTGGTTTTTTGGTTTTGGTTTTAGATAAATTTAAAAAAATTACCTACTTTAAAAATAAATAATATGCCCAAAAAATTATTTTTTCTAACAAAATTAATAAAAGAAGGGAGCAACGGCCGTCCGGCATTTAAAAAAAATATGTTTATGATTTTTTTTTATATTTCAGCGTTTTCGAATAAAAAAAGAATAGTTGCATGTTCAGTTTATATTAGTGTATTTATTGAGTTAGGTTTAAAATATAATATTAATCAATACTATTTTAGTTTAATTTTAATAGAAAATAATTTAATATGTTTTGTATGTACATTTTTATTTTTAATTATACCTAATGCAAAAAAAATGATTTCTGGCAACCCTATCTTCAAGGCACAATTTTATTTGTTAAACGATACATAAAACGTATTTGTGCTGTAATAATATTAATTATTAAAAGTAAAAAGTGAGGTTGGATTGATCTGACAGAAGTCAAATTTTTTTATTAGTCCAAATAAGTAAATTTTTACAGCCCAGGCTGCGAAATAACCTAATAAAACCGATTATAGTCTAAAGTTTAAACCATTTTTAAGTGCCTAAGCCATAATCAATCACTTTAGTGTTGACAACAATAACGTTTAAATTATAAAACGATTAAAGATAATAGTATATTACTTATGTATCAAGTTTGATAAACGCCAGTGTATAGAAAAGTACTTTTTCTACGACAAATACTTATTATTATCTTAAAATGACTTAAATCAAACATTTGTATAGAGCGCCATCTATGAACAATAGGGGAATCTGTGTGTCACCGTCAAATGTCAATTTTTTTTATTTTATAAACACAGATTATAATCGATAATAATCTTATAATTATAAAGGCTATAAATCGAAATGTATTTCTTGAAAATTGACAGTTTTTCACAGTGAAAGTAAAGAAAATGTTTTGTAAGCACTTTACAGTGGAGTCCGTGTCCGAATTTAAGTTATAGTTTACTGCCGGCGAAATTAAAAGGTCAGTACAATGTTTATACAAACTTTTCAAATATTGGCGTTGAGAAACTACTTTTGTATTTTTGTATTGAGATAATAAAATAATTTTCACATTTAGTATTATTTTACAAGAAAGGCACTTTATTTTAACGATTGTATGACATTTGACAACTGTCAACTAACTTAAAACTAACTTCAGCCCGTGACTAAAAACCTGTTGCTAACTTCAGCCCGTGACTAAAGCGCCATAAAGCCACAACTTGTCAATGTGTATTTAAAAGGTCACTTAGTGTCATGAAAACATGTACGATAAAGGGCGTTTTAAAGGTGGGAGTAGAAAAAACTAGTTATTTGTAGATATCCTAGACTGGTACGACGTACACGCAGAAAATAAATTCCAATTGGCATTGCGCAGGTAATCCGCATTTAAAATAATAATTGTGCAAAATATTGATCACTACAGTTTCACAAATTAAGTATTGCTGTGTTGTTTTATTAGAAATTGTATGATTTTAAATGCAGTTGGTAGTCTCTGTGTATCGTCTCTTGCGTTGAGGTTTCTTGGACGTTTTTCTATTTCAATGGCTTCATGGGAAGTATTCCGGACGTGTTCAGCTAAGGAAGATGTTTTTCTTGTTTTAAAAACTGCTTTACGATGTTCTTCGCGTCGAACGTTGATACGTTGGTCTGTCCCACGTAGCTTCCGTCACAATTCTTACAAGGAATTTCGTAAACTCCTTGTGCCTCCAACTGTATTTTTGGTTTAGCGTTTGGAAGTATTTGACCGATCTTTTTTGGGGCGGTAAATTTGGTCTCAATGTAATGATTTTTGAGAACTTTGCCTATACTTTCGGTTGTCCCTTTGTCGTAGGGAAGAAAGGCCTTCGAAGTTGGTTTGTTGTTCTCGTCCTCTGTGGTATTTAACCGGCGCCGTGGTCTAAGAGCAGAGCTGGGCAGTAATTGACTTGAAAGTGCTTGAAAAAGTGCTTCAAGCACAATAGTGCTTCGAGCACAGTGCTTGCAAGCACTTTTAAAATACAGTGCTTGGTAATTGGTAATTCAAGCCCTTTATAAAAAGTGCTTGGTAATTGGTAATTGAATTTCGCATTTCAAGCCATTTGAGTGCTTGCAAGCACTTAAAAGGCTTGCAAGCATTTTAAAGGGCTTGCAAGCACTAAAGGGCTTGCAAGCACTATCAGATTTGAGGGCTTGCAAGCATTTAAAGTGCTCCCGAGCACTTTAGACTCTAGAGGGAAATGCCCTTAGTAACAACCCTGTGGTTTCATCATCATCTAATGCGGTGTGCGGTGCAGCATAAGCTTTAATGTGATTGGTTGGTTGAAGGCCGACTTGGCCAGTACCTTTCTCCTTCTTGCAGATAATTTGTACCTATTTTTTGATGATTTCTTCACTTTAATTGTTTTGCGTCATGTTGTGTGGACTAATAAATTAAAAACAAAAAACTTTGGTTTGGTTTGGTTATTTTAATATAACGATCATCCAAAAATGTTTCTTATTTTTAAAATTAAGATGTTAATTAATTGGGTAGGAAGCAATTGGAAAACTAAAAAGTGCTTGGTAATTGGTAATTTATTTAAGAAAAAAGTGCTTGCAAGCACTTTTTGAGTAATTGGTGCTTGGTAATTGAATTTTTCAATTACTTTTCTCGGTAATTGGTAATTGCAAGCACTTTAAGTTTTCAAAGTGCTTGATGCTTGGTGCTGGCAATTACTTTTCCGAAGGGCTTGGTGCTTGGTGCTCGAAGCACTTTTTTTGAGTGCTTTGCCCAGCTCTGTCTAAGAGCCTTTTTTATGATGGTTTTGGAGAATCCGTTTTGCTGTAGCGTCGTTTGGATTTTTAGGTCTACTTGTTTCTTTCCAAAGCAAACTTAACAAAAGTGGAAGAAGTCAGTTTCAAGTGTACTAAAAAAAATTAAAAAAGTATGAATTAATTTGTATAAAAAATACAACATCGCCAATCGTATATATTACGTATGTTAACAAATTATAATTATATTTGATGATTCAATTCAATATAAAATTAAGCCAGAAAATTACTTTACAAACATTTGGTTTTGTGCTATTATGATACATTGATCATAATTTAAGTTTAAAATATTTTTATCAAAGGAATCATTAAATTTCAATAAAAATTAAAATTAAAGATATCTGGTAGCTTGAAGAAGCCTCCAATTGATACTGTTTAATTAAGACAAATACATATACATATAAGTATAGTTGCGTCATCAATTTGGGAACCAAGCACAGACATTACAATTGACTGTTTTCTTTGTAC